AAAAAAAAAAAAAAAAAAAAAAGGGATCTACCCAATGACAGGGGAAGATCTATTTGAAAGGTTTATAGGGAAGGATATCCAGTGCTCACACAGGGTTGAAAGTGATGCTTGTTATACCAACCGGAATAGAAATCTTTGAGATTCACAAGGCATTGGGTAGAGTACTCAATGATATCTTGCCCCAGTAGTGGAGTATAATTAGGACTAGAGTAAATGCTATACTGGTTCCCACTAACAAATCTTAAGACACCAGAAAGGATCACACTGTTTCCAGGTCACTTAGTTATTTCCTAGAACAAAGCACAAGAATATTCACAGGAATACAGAAATTTCCAGAACTCAACAAGGTTCACGGTGTCTGCCATTCAGTCAGTGATTACTAGGCATGCAAAGAAGAAACACACAACCTATAATGAAGAGAAAAATCACTAAAAAGTAACACCTGTCACAGGTGTTAGAATTAGTAGACAAGGACATAACATTTATTATAACTATGGTTCATATGTCTGAAAGTTAAATAGAAACATGGAAGATATTTAAAAAGATGCACATCAGACTTCTAGAGATGAAAACTATCGTGCTTGAGATGAAGCAGTGCACTAGATGAGCTTAATGACAGACTAAACATTGCAGAAAAAAGTTTAGTGAACGTGAAAATATAACAATAAAAATTATGCAAAATGAAACACAAAAATAATTTAAAAATCATTAATGAGCTACAAGACAACATCATGTAGCCTAATATATGTCTGGCTAGAACCTTTAAAGAAGGGGAGAGAGAAAATTGGAAAAAAATAATGGTCAAAACCTTTCTAAAACTATAAATATACAAATTCAAGAAGCTCAATGAACCCAGATACAAGTAAAATAAAGAAAACCATATATAAATTGATCAAAATAAATGATAAATAGAAAAATTTTAAAACAGCCATAGGGAAAAAAGACACATTAAATGCAGAGGAGCTGTGTTAAGTATGAGAGATTTCTCAACTGGCAATCTGCAGGGATCTCCAAAGATGTACAAGTGGGCCATAAGCACTTGACAAAATGCTCAACAGCATTAGTTATTAGGGAAATGCAAATCAAAACCATAGTGTGATAGGATACCACTTCACAGCCACTAGGTTGACTGTAATGAAAAAAAAAAATCCATATAATAACAAGTATTGGCAAGTCTGTGGAGATATTGGAATCCTCATACATTGTTGCTGGGCATGTAAAATGGTGGAAATGCTATGGAAGATAGTTTGGTAATTAAAAAGTTAAGCATATAATTACCACCTGACTTAGAAATTTTACTCCTAGGTATGTTCCCAAGAGAATTGAAAGCATATACTCACATAAAAACATGTACATGGACATACGAAGCAGCATTTAATAACCAAAAAGTGGAAACAATCTAAATGTTCACTAACTGGTAAATGGATAAACAAAATGTGGTATAGCCATTTAATAGAATTCTGTTTCACAATTGAAAGGATAAACTACTGATATGTGGTTACAACATGGATGGATCTCAGAAATACTGTGTTAAGTGAAAGGAGACATATGGAAAGACCACATTTTGTTTAATTCTATTTATATAAAATGTCTAGAAAAGACATTTAATTTATAGAGACTGATGTACATTAGTGGTCACCGGGTACTGGTGGTAGGAATGGGAATTAACTACAAATGGGTGGGTACAAGGATCTTTGTGACGTAATGAAAATGTTTTCAAAATGGATTTTAGTGATGGCTGAACAACTATGAATTTACTAAAAAACTATTGAATTCTCTAGCTAATGACTGAATTGTATATCTGATGAGTAACTTTTATATCTCATGAGCGAATTTTGTGGTATGTAAGTTATACCTCAGTAGTATTGTTTAACAAAAGCAATGGACTGTTTACAACAAAAATAATGTGTTGTGAAGTTTATGATCTGTAGAAGCAATATGTATGAAAAAAATAATGCATGGCAGTAGGGAGTAGGGGATGGAAGTACATCATTGTAAGGTTCTTATAGTATACATCAAATATTGTTTACATGTCAACTGAACTGGGCACACTGGCTCATGCCTATAATCCCAGAACTTTGGGACATTGTGGCTGGAGGATTGCTTGAGCCCAGGAATTCAAGACCAGCCTGGACAACACAGTGAGACCTCATCTCTACGAAAAATAAAAAAAATTAGCTGGGAATGGTGGTGCATGCCTGTAGTCCCAACTAATTGGGAGGCTTAGGTGGAAGGATCACATGAGCCCTGAGGTCAAGGCTGCAGTGAACCATGATTGTACCACTGTGCTCCAGCCTGGGTGACAGAGTGAGACTCCAACTAAGAAAAAATGTAGACTGAAATAAGTTAAAGTTGCGTATTGTAAACTGTAGAGTCACTAAAAAATAAGTGTAACTACTAAGTGAATAGTGGTGACAGCTGGGCTCAGTGGCTCAGCCTGTGTAATCCCACCCCTTTGGAAGCTGAGGTGAGTGGATTGCCTGAGCCCGCGGGTTCGAGACCTGCCTGGGCAACTTGGCGAGACCTCATCTCTACAATAAATCAAAATGAGCCGGGCGTGGTAGCACACGCCTGTAGTTCCAGCTACTTGGAAGGCTGAGGCGGAAGGATCGCCGGAGCCCAGCAGCTCGAGGCTGCGGTGGCCGGGAGCGGCCACTGCACTCCAGTCAGGGTGACAGAGTGAGACTCCAACTCAAAAAAAAAAAAAAATAGTGGTGACAAAATGTTAAAAAATATTCAGTTGAAACCAGGCTTAGTGGCTCAGCCTGTAATCCCAGTGCTTTGGGAGGCTGAGGTAAGTGGATTGCCTGAGCCCATGGGTTTGGGACCTGCCTGGGCAACTTGGCAAGACCTCATCTCTACAATAAATCAAAAATTAGCCAGTCGTGGTAGCACGCACCTGTAGTTCCAGCTACTTAGAAACTGAGGTGGAAGGATTGCCAGAGCCCAGCAGGTCGAGGCTGCAGTGGCCAGGAGCAGCCACTGCACTCCAGTCTGGGTGACAGAGTGAGAATCCAACTCAAAAAAAAAATTTAGTTGAAATAAGTTCAAAGTAAAAGAGATAGTACAAATAGAAAACAATAGTAAGATAATAGATCTAAACCCCTCCATATCAATAATTACAGAAAATGGAAGTGGTTTGAAACATTTCAAATAAAAGGCAGAGATTATCAAACTAAAAAAAAGTAAGAACATATGCTGTCTATAAAAAAAAAACCCTGCATTAAACTTACATTTATCTACCCAAGAATGTAGATAAGTTAAAACTAAAAGGTTGGAGAAAGATATATCATGCAAAGACTAATCTTGATAGTGGTTATACTAATACCATATTAAGTAGATTTCAGAGTAAGGAACATTGTTAGAGATAAAGAAAAATTTCAAAATGATAAAAAGGGGTTAATTAATCAAGATGACATAACAATCTTAAAAGTTTAAGCACCCAGTGACAGAACTGCAACATATATGAAGTAAAAACTGATGGAACTGAAGGAGAAATAAATAAATCAACAATTATAGTTAGAAATTTAAAAATTCTTCTCTCAATAATTAATAGGATAAGTAGACAGAAAATCATTAAGGACATAGAAGACTTGAAAAAACATGATTGACCAACTTGACCTAACTGACATTTATAGAATACTCCACCTAAGAAAAGCAGATTGTCCATTTTTTTCAAGTGCATGTGGAGCAATTACCAATGTAAATTATAAATTATATATAGGTCATGAACCAAAATTCAACATTTAATTTGGAAAGATTGGACTCATCAGGGTAAATCTGGAGAAAACCCAAATATTTGGGAGTTAAACAACACTTTTATAAATAACTCATGGGTCAGAAAGGAAATCACAAAGGAAAATAGAGAATGTTTTGAATGGAATGGAAATGATTTGCTAGATCATTCTCAAAATCTGTGGTCTATGATTAAATCGGTTTTTGAGGGTGACTTATTAAATACTTGTATTAGAAAAGAAGAAAGATATCAAATCAGTAATTTAAGCTTCCACCTTAATTAAGGACATAGAAAAAGATAAGCAAACAAATTTAAAGTAAAATGAGGGAAGAAATACTAAAGATGAACACAAATCAGTTAAATAGAAAATGGACAAACAACAGAGAAAGCCAAGGAGACAAATAGCTGATTTTTTGATAGATGAATAAAATGGGTAAACCTCAAGCAAGACTAATTAAGGAAGACAGAAGATGCAGTTGTCAATATCAAGATTGAGAGAGGTGACATCACTGTGGATTCTGTTGATATTAAAAGGATAATATGAATAACTTTTCCAATAAATTTAACAACTTTAGATAAAATGGAAAAATTCATTGAAAGACACAAATTATCTAAGTTGACTCAAAAAGAAATAGAAACATCTAAGTGGTGTACAATAGGAAAATTAATTTTGTAATTAAAAATTTTTCTACAAAGAAACTTAGGCTCATATGCCTTCCCTGGTGAAGTCTGTCAAACATTTGAGGAAATAATTATACCAATTCTTCACAAAAATCTTGTAGAAAATAGTGGAGAAGGGAGCGCTTAACTTACTTTATGAGGTTTGCTTAACTCTGATAATAAAACCAAAGGCAGGGCCTGGCATGGTGACTCATGCCTGTAATCCCAGCACTTTGGGAGGTTAGGGCAGGCTTGAACCCAGGAGTTCAAGACCAGCCTGGGCAACATAGTGAGACCTTGTCTTTACAAAAAAATTTAAAAATAGCCAACTGCAGTGGTGCATGTCTATAGTCCCAGCTACTTGGGAGGCTGAGGTGGAATGATCACCTGAGACCAAGACGTCAAGTCTGCGGTGAACCAGGATCGTACCACTGCACTCCAGCCTATATGACAGAGTGAGACTGACCCAGGAAAAACAAAACAAAACAAAGACATAATAAAGAACTGTATAGACCATTGTCCTCATTAGATAGAAGCAAAAATCATTAACAAAATGTTAGCAAATAGAAACCAGCAATAATGTATAAAAAGAGCAATAAATCATGATGAAATGGTGTTTATCCAAGGTATGCAAGACTGGTTTAACATTTGAAAGTCAACATTATTTACCATGTAAATAGATTGAAAAAAAAGCAAATCATCTCAATAGATTATCTCAATAGATGCAGAAAAAGCATTTGACACAATTCAATATAAATGCCTTATATAAAAACTTAACAAACTAGAAAGAGAAGGGAACAACATCCTGATAATCAAACACACCTACAAAAATCCTACAGTTACAAGCCTGTAATCCCAGCACTTTGGGAGGCTGAGGTGGGGGTTGCCTGAGCCCACGGGTTTGAGACCAGCCTGGGCAACTTGGCAAGATCTCATCTCTATAATAAATAAAGAAAAGAAAGCATTATACTTAAAATAGCACTGTGAAAAAAAAACAAAACAAAACCAAACCCTGAATCTGATGAAGTCTCTTCTAGAGAAAATATAGAAGACAGAGGAACATGTCAAACAATTCTATGGAGATACAATCAGCAGAATCTAAGTAGCAGGAAACTATAGAATAAGAGTTCCGTTTTCTTCAACAAATAAACTTCAAGAGAATTAAAGAATTGAGAGAAATGGAGGCAAAACCTGTAAATTTAAAAAGACTTAAGAAGCATATCAATCAGCTGCAATGTGTGGATCTTGTTTGGATCTTGATTCAGGTAAATGAAACATATAAAAGCAAAGCAAGCTGGGCTCGGTGGCTCAGCCTGTAATCCTGCGCCTTTGGGAGGCTGAGGTGAGTGCATTGCCTGAGTCCGCGGGTTCGAGAACCACCTGGGCAGCGAGACCTCATCTCTACAGAGTGAGACTCTGACTCAAAAAAAAAAAGCAAAGCAAACTACAAAAGCCTCAACAACATTTGACATTTATGAGACAATTTGAAATCCAAACACTGTTGGAGTATTTGATATTGGGGAATGAGTGTTAATTTTTAAAGGTATGTTAATGGAATTGTGGTTATGCTAAAAAGAACTCTTTTAAAAAACATACCAAATTTTTATAAATGAAATATTCAAAATCTGGAATTCCCTTAGAAGTTATACTGTATTACAGAGGAATGGTTAAAATGTAGGTGAGACAAGATTGGTGATCAATTGATCATTGATAAAACTGGTTGATGGATACATTCAGGGATTAATTATGTTATTCTTTCTACTTTGGTATACATTAAAATTTTTTCAAAGCCCAGCTCGGTAGCTCAGCCTGTAATCCCTTGCTTGGGGAGGCTGAGGTGAGTGGATTGCCTGAGCCCACGGGTTCGAAACCCGCCTGGGCAACTTGGCAAGACCTCATCTCTAAAATAAATAAAAAATTAGCCGGGCATGGTAGTGCGCACCTGTAGTTCCAGCTACTTGGAAGGCTGAGGCGGAAGGATCACCAGAGCCCAGCAGGTCGAGGTTACAGTGACCAGGTGTGGCCACTGCACTCCAGTCTGGGCGACAGAATGAGACTCCAACTCAAAAAAAAAAAAAAATTTTTTTTCACAATAGAAAGTTAAGAAAAATCATAGCTGTCAGTTATTGACCATATATATTATGAATATTGGCATAGCATTAGAGAAACTGTGCAAGGGTTTTAAAAAATGGGAAAACTAAATGTCAGAAGTTTGAAATTTGTTAAATGTCATACAAATATATGTAAGTGGTAGAGCCAAAATTGGTAACCCTGATTTATCACTGAGTTTCTTTTCTATGTTGCTGGGTTATGCTTACTCCCATATACTATGCTGCTTTGTCTTTCTATTTTCTCTTGTGTTTAATGCTGATATTTATTTTTTTAAAAATTGTTGGTACCATCTTCAATCAGTCCCATCCCCTGCCAGAAGCATTGATTTTCTGTCATCCAACAAGAGGCAGGATACAACAGTGTTCCTTTAGGTCTACAAGTTGGTGTATTTCCTCCCTTTTCCACATTATTCTGAAAAATAGAAAGGCTATATGTATAAACAGAGAAGTGCTTAGTGAACTTTGTTTTTCTTTCACTTCTACTGTGAGACTCACAATTAATCAACATTCCCCCCCACTCACTTATGGGTTGAAACCATGTTGACTTAAAATGTTGTTTCTATAGTTGACATTCAGTGAAACTTAATAAGACTGCTAATGCATATAATTTTTTTTTTTACCTTTTTTGTTTCTATATTTTTTACAGGCTTTGGTTGGAGAGAAGGCCTGTTATCAATCCATCAGTAGCTATGGTGGACAGATCTTTTATTTGGGCACAAAAGTAAGCTCTTTCACTCTGTGACTTGGTATTTGTGTATATAAGGATAACGGGCTGAAGGAGGTTGCTCATAAAGAGGGCAGTGTATTATAACATGAATATTGGTTATCTAGTACTTTTTGTTTTTGGTAGACATGATTTGTAGTTAATTTATTTCCTTCACTTTTAGACATATTTTTACTTTTGTTTAGGTGCTAACAGTATGTTTATTTTCCTGATTCAGGGATTTACTTTCATAAGCTTCCTTCACATTTTTGTTTTCATGACCAAGAAGATACCTGATCACAGATGTTGTCATATAATTAAGATGGTTATTAGCTTATATCAGCTTAGGATACACTAAACTGCATTGAGCCATTTGACTTAGATTAGAATCATTGGATTAAGAACTTTTTGTATATAAATGTTTCTGTACATTAAAAAAAACTTACTATGGAGAAACATTTCTTCATGATTAAATTCAATCAAAATATTGCCAGATCAGTACAGGGAAATAAGCTTGGGCTTTCCTTGCTCCTTGCCAGAAAAACTAACTCCTTCTTGGACTATAGACTTACTGACCTTTAACTTACTGACCTTTGACTTACTCTTTAATGTGAATTCTTGACCCTTTAGCCAATTCTAAGATATACTTCTAACTGTGATATGAAATATTTTTACTTAAAGAGATATAAAATGAGATGTGGAACTGGGACAAATGTGTTTCCCAAAAAGTCTGTTGAAGATGATCATTTTAATTTTTTCTCTTTATTTTCTAGTCTGTTTATGTGATGATGCTAAGGAACTGGAGAGAAGTGAGTTCAAATCAATTTTATATGTTAGAACTACTAAATTAATAGCATTTTAATTTTCTGTTTTGATTTTGCCGAAGATTATTTGGATTTGTTCTTCTTAATTTCAGAAGTATACATTAAAACTATTACAACTGTTAGGTACTTGATTTGCTAAAAATATATAAGTTAGAATAAGATTTGGCTATGTATATTAGAAAAGTTAAAATAATAATGGCTTAAGTAATATTGCTGTCTGGAGGTAGGCAGTCCATGGCCAGTATGGGAGTTCCATGAGCATAAGTACACTAGCCCGTTCCATCATCTTTATGTTTGCATTCTAGTCTCAAGGTCATTTTATAGATCAGTATGGTTGCTATAGCTCTAGTTGTTAGGTTCTACATTTCAGGAAAGGGGAAAGAGAAAATAAAGGCCATTCCCCACCTCTTAAGAGGTACCACTTGCTTTTAATTGACCAGAGCTTAATCACATTGCCCTAAGTCTTTTTTTTTTTTATTTATTTTATTTTATTTTTTGAGTTGGAGTCTCACTCTGTCGCCCCAGACTGGAGTGCAGTGGCCGCTCCCAGCCACCGCAGCCTCTACCTGCTGGGCTCTGGCGATCCTTCTGCCTCAGCCTTCCAAGTAGCTGGAACTACAGGCGCATGCTACCACGCCCGGCTAATTTTTTGATTTATTGTAGAGATGAAGTCTCGCCTGCCCAGGCGGGTCTCGAACCCACGGACTCAGGCAATCCACTCACCTCAGCCTCCCAAAGGCGCAGGATTACAGGCTGAGGCACCAAGCCCGGCTTTGCCCTAAGTCGTAGAAATGTTCTTCAGCTGGTGTGTTGCTGTCTGAAATAAACTGTTTGTTACCAAGGAGGAGGAAATGAATGGATGTTTTGATAAACAACTAACCATTTCTGCTACAATGACATTCTGGTGGTTTCCCCTTTTCGTATTTAAGCCCTATGGCTGTCTTTACTAGCCTGTATAGTCGTCGTACTGTTCAGTGCTTTAAGAAGTTATTTTTAAAAATAAGACACTCACATAGTTACCGAAATAATTTTAGCTACTAAGCAGAAAATTTATGGAAAGATTTTAGATAGAATTGGAATTCAGACCCAAAGGGGTCTGACTTCTCTCATTTGTTCATTTTAGAGAGTGGATCATCTCCTGAAACAAGATTGTCTCACAGAAGCTTTGGCTCTTGCATGGTCTTTCCATGAAGGCAAAGCAAAAGCAGTAGTGGGTAAGTAGACAGACTGACTACCAATATGGTAGACATTGTTTTAATGGAGTAGAGGGACTGAATAATACTAATCATTCATAAAATGCTTTTAGCTGAGTATTCAAGTATTTTATAAACAGGATGTTATTAAATCTTACAGTAAAGAAGATTAATGACACATGGAGGGTATAGAAGCTAAAATTTCACTTCTAACATTTTTTTATAAGAAAAATTTACTATTAGAACAAAAGGAAACTACGTTGATGTGCTGTCTGATCCAATAGATGTGAATTAGGCATATTATCCAACATTTGGATACCTAAAGGTTGTTATAATTTTGTTGTTAACACATGATATCAGTAGAAAACCAGACACAGTTTTACTCCTGAAGATGTGAACTAACTTTTGTTTTTTTGTTGGATTCTGCTTCTCTGCAGGATTATCAGGGGATGCCAGTAAAAGAAAGGCTGTTGTTGCAGACCGGGTGAGTATTTCAATAGGGTCTTTACTAGGAAACAGTACAGATTTGTTTTTGGTACTTGCTAATATCTTTGGGTATGAATAGGTAAATGGCTACAACGTAGAAGAGACTGTATGAAAAAACAAGTCATCTTATAAATCCCTGGTGTCATCTTGAATGCTCTTTAAATTCCTTCTTGTCACCTTTTCTTTTTCTTTTGCTCTCTCTCTTATGAAAATAATGAAATAATAAAATAGCCAAAAGACAGAGGAAGACAGGAAAAAACCTCAGAATCTGAATTTTTTTTGAACCTTGCCCATAAAGTTTGTTAGTTTTCATGAATGTATGAGCAATTATGAGGTATACTATATGTGCACATTTGTAGTGCCCAAAAATAGCAGAGAGGGCTAATGTTTTAATATTATTATTATTAATTAGTATTAATATAATTGATGCTAATATTTAACATTGCCATTCTGTTTCTAATCTACACTTGGCTGAATTCATTGACTATAAAATTTCTTCCCTTTAGCTGTATACATACATTGGTAAAAATTATGTTCAAATTAGTGTAAACACTTACAGAACACATGAGTAAAAATGGTCACTCCTTAGACTGAATGATATGCTCATCCATGCTTTTTAGGGAAATACCTACAGCAGAGGATTACTGAAGAACTTAACTTTAATTTTTTATTTCCTGAGCAATGAAGATACCACTGAAGTATAGAACATGGAGATATTTGTTAGGAAAGATTAGCAAAACTGAAATTAGGCTAGCGTTTAAAAAAAAAGTGAAATAAAGCCACTAAAAATTTCAAGTATATTTTAAATATAATAACAATACTGATTCTGTAGTATTTAGGAGGGCCACCTATATTAAATAGTGAAAAGCACTTAGAGATATATTTTCATTTCTATACAAGTCTTTTTTTTTTACAGATGATAGAAATCCTATTCCATTACGCAGATCGAGCTCTGAAAAAGTGCCCAGACCAAGGAAAAATCCAAGTGATGGAGCAGCACTTTCAGGTACACCTTTGCACATGCTTCTAATAGACAATGCTGTAAATAGTTGTAATACTACTCTTTTATATTATTTGGCAACGTGACTTCTCCCACTTCCTTATCCATCTCCTCCTCCCCTTCTGCCTCCCCCCACTTCTCCTCCTCCTCTTCCTAAAAACCATTCTTAGTTGTGAACAATATAGAAATAGGCAGGATTTGACTTATGGGCTAAAATATGCAACCCCTGGTCTAAAATATGTGTCATGTGGTCTAATACATACTAGGCACTGGACAATAGTGTATAAAATACATATGGTCTTCACTATCTTAAAATTAGTCAAAATAATTTTTGTTTTGTATTAATGGAAATATTTGAAAGAAATTTAGAGTTTTCTCTGAAGAGCAGGCACAGGTCCTGTATTTTATCTCTCATTGGTGCTCATAACTTTGGAAGACAAGAATAGACATGGCAGTTAAGAGTTGGGTGGTTTCAGAGAAGCATTTGGTTTCCTGAGCTACATGTTTAATGCTATAGTAGTGAGCTTCTGATGGACTAACTTTTATTACTCTGTTTGACTGGAGGCTTATTTAGAAATAGAGAAGGAGAAATAAGCCAAGATAAAATTATAAAAATAAATAACGTAGGAAGAAAAACACATGGCAGAAAGAAAGCATTTGGGATCAAAATTATTTAGAACCAATACCTTGTATGTACATGTTTTTGTATACCCATGCAGTATAGATAGAAAAAAAAATAGTTTAACAAGAATGTTTCTATCACCAAGAGATAGTAGTATGGTCTCTATGAAAGAACTCAGCCATTGGAAGATATACTTTGTTGAAAAAAAATTCTTAAGTAGGGAAAACCAGCAGGGGCAAATTGAGTGAGAGAGAGAGAGAGAGTGTGTGTGTGTGTGTGTGTGTGTGTATGTGTGTGTGTGTGTGTAAGTAATTTAGAAACCACCATGTTAGGAGAAAATATGGTAGAGAATTTCTATCTAAAAGAAGAAAGGACAGAAGTGATGTTCTGATGGAGAAATACTGTAGAATCTCAGTTGACAGAGACTGTAGGTGATGGTTTCTTGATACAGATTGCAAAACATACAAAGAAACAAACAATAGTAATAATGTGTTCTGTAGCCATCTAGATATGTTAGAAATCTTATTCTGATAAGAGTATCTGATAAATTTTTGATTAACAATGATTTAGTCTTACAGGTGGTAAAAGAAACAATGGAAGGAACCATTATTTTGGATTTAATTTTTACTAATGATTGAGGAAGTAAAAAAGACAGACTCTTTTTTTTGTTTTGAGTCAGAGTCTCACTCTGTCTCCCAGGCTAGATAGAGTACAGTGGCACACTCAAGGCCGCTGCAGCCTCGACCTGCTGGACACAGGCAATACTTCCACCTCAGCCTTGCAAGTTGCGGGAATCACAGGTGTGCACCACTATGCCTGGCTAATTTTTTGATTTATTGTAGAGACAGGGTCTCGTCATGTTGCCCAGGTTGGTCTCGAACTTGTAGGCTCAGGCAGTCCTCTCGCCTCTGCCTCTCAAAGTGCTGAGATTACAGGTGTGAGCCACCGCCCGGCTAAGAGAGAGACTCTTGAAGAAAAGCTATCATTTTGTTTTAGCAGTCATAATAACAATGAAAAATATACTGAGCATGAATCCTGTATGTTAGAAAGCAAATATTTCAGAAAAAAAATATGGGCACAATCTCATGGTTATAGGTTCCAAAAAAAAAAAAAGAATGGGTTCACAAAGAACAGAAATTTCTAAAATTTTGACAAGATAACCGTGAGCAATTCAAGGAGAAAGTAATGTTGAGAGAAGGATATGTCTGCAAGTAACAGAACATCTACAAATATGGAGAGAGGCGTATAACTAAAGATATATACCAGAAGTGTCATAAACTGTCAGGAGAGCAGTATGGTCCAGATTGTACCTGCCAAAATACTAAGGGTACAAAAAAAGAAAAAGTTTTTTTGTTTTCTTTTGTTTTTAACAAAGACTCACTGAGTACATACTATATGCCAGGTACTCTGTGAAGTGTGTGACATTCGTTTTTTTCCTCATAACAACGCCATGTAGTAGATAACATTTTTTTTTTTTTTTTTTGAGTTGGAGTCTCTGTCACCCAGGCTGGAGGGCAGTGTCTTGCTCCCGGCCACTGTAGCCTCAACCTGCTGGGCTCAGGAGATCTTTCCACCTCAGCCTTCCAAGCAACTGGAACTACAGGCATGTGCCACCATACATGGTTAATTTTTTTCTTTTTTGATTTATTGTAATGATGAGGTCTCGCCAAGTTGCCCAGGCTGGTCTTGAACCTGTGGGCTCAGGCAATCCTCTCACCTCGGCCTCCCAAAGTGTTGAGATTATAGGCGTGAGCCACCATGCCCGGCCAACATTTTCATCCCCATTCTATAAATGAGGTTATGTGACATTACAAGGTAGTGTTGCTGATAAGCGGTGGAGCTAGGACTTGCATCCAGGCCCTTCTTCCTTCAAAGTTCAGCTCTTAACTAATCCTTGTACTATCCTGTTATTTTGAGGGCAAGCATGGGGGAAAGATGGATGAGGGGTGATGATACTAATAAATAACCTGGAATGATAATTACAGCAAGCATCTAAACTATTTACTGCTTACTGTGGTAGGCACTGTTATAGACCCTTTATTAGCTCATACAATTCTTACCATAACTCTGTAAGGTGGGTACTGTTATTTACATTTGTAAATGATATCGCGGCACATCGAGAGGTTAAATAACTTGTTCCAGGTCACATAGCTAGCAAATTGTAGAGCTAGGATTTGAATTCAAGCTGTTGGGCTTCAGGCTTCACATCTGGACTGCTACACTATACCATAGAGCAATGCTTCTTATTTTAACTCCATTTCCATGAACACAGAGAATAGTTTTAAAGTGGAAAAATCCAGATAAGTATTTTAAAGAAAAAAAAATTTAAGCCTAGCATATGTAACATATAGTTTAATTATGATGGTTAAAGTCTCCAGACCCAGTGGAATTATAACCCAGGATACTATTGGAACAGCTGATCCAACATGAATAATTTGTAGGTAACCTCAGATCAATTTTCAAATAAGTGTGGGTGCCTACACAGTTTATTTCATTCAGGAGGACGGTTTTTTATGTTTTGTAAAGGTGATTTTCAGCCAATTAGAATGAGTGGAATACATGCACAGTTAGTTACAAATCTTCTGCTTAAGTGTTTAATCATAAATCTTTGATTATAGAATAACTATATAGGTTGACTCTTAATGTGTGTTTTTCTTTAAAAGAAAAGCAGGTTTAGGAAACTATCTGCTGATAACTCCAATGTGGTTTGTGAACATTTTCCATGAATTCACCTCAAAACAACCATGTTAACTCATAGAGTCATAGCAGAAAGAATCAGCATTCAAAATGATCTTGACAAGAAGGTGCAGTCACAATCATTATAAGATGAAATTTAATGAAGATAAATATCATTAGATTCAAATAATTAAATTGTATGGGTACGGATTGGGAAGACCTAAGCTGGACAGGATTTTAGTTGACCACAAACTTAGTAGAGCCAACAGTATGTTTAGGCTCAGAGAAAGGAAAGTATCACTAGGTTAGTTGTTGGAAATAAAACTTCTAAGATATTTTATGAGATGTTGACATATGAAGCCACATTCCACAACTGGGAGGGTGGAAGGTTTTAAAAACAACAGGTAAAAAAAATACTGGGTTGTTTAATCTGAGGAGATAGCAAGTGGAGACGTGCTTGTCTATAGATGATGAAGGGCTGTCATATGGGATTTACTGCATTGTCACAGAGGGAAGGCCTAGTATATTAAGTGGGTAGAAATTGGGAACAGGTGTATTTCAGTTTTAAAATGACCTGCTTGCTGATGTAACAGCTCTTGGACTTGTACACCTTCTATTTTTGAATGTTTTCAAATAAAGGAAGGATGACTAGCTGATCAAAATTGTTTTTTGAGTTGGAGTCTCACTCTGTCGCCCAGACTGGAGTGCAGTGGCCGCTCCCGGCCACCGCAGCCTCGACCTGCTGGGCTCCGGCGATCCTTCCGCCTCGGCCTTCCAAGTAGCCGGAATTACAGGCATGCACTACAACGCCTGGCTGATTTTTTGATTTATTGTAGAGATGAGGTCTTGCTGCCCAGGCGGGTCTCGAACCCACGGGCTCAGGTAATCCACTCACCTCAGCCTCCCAAAGGTGCGGGATTACAGGCTGAGCCACGGAGCCCGGCTCAAAAGTGTTTTTAAAAGACTTTCATTGCTGTGTGAGAAGATTTGAGATTCTATTCTAGTATTAAGAAACTATCATTGGAAATGTAGGTACCTGTTAATCCAGTTAGTTGAAATTCCTTTTAAGACTGGTTTGTATCTCAGCAAAAATACTGAGAATTTGTATTTTACCAGCAGGTGGCACTCTTGCCTGCTGCCTCAATTTTAATCATCCCCTTGGTGAGGAGCCTCACCTTTTCCTTAGTCAGAATATTTAAAGCTATTCAGTATTTCAGCTTTCCTCCAAAGATCAAACAATATTTTGTCCTGTCTTAGTTATGGGAAATAACTTTTGAATCCTGTGATGTTTTTGACAGGCTGTGTTTTTTATTTATCTAAGAAAAGATTTGAACGTATAACTATAGTTTATTTGTAAAATAAGCAGCAGTATAAAATGGTGTTCTCTATCTTCTACATCTTGTCTTTTATTTTGGCCTCGCCTCATATGCATTTGTATGTGTTCATGTATCTCCCATAAAACAAAGTCAAATAGCAAACAAATTATTTCTTTGCCCCATGCCATCCCAATATTCTTATTCCTTCTGTTCGCTCATTCATTGTAGAATCAGACATCTCTATTTCCTCACCTTTCTTATTCTTTTACCTATTCCATGTCTGTAAATTTCATGGATGCTTTTATTCCTCATCTTACTGGTCCTCAGCAGCATTCAACACATTACTGACTTTTTGAAACTGTTGGTCCCTTTGGCTTCTCTGGTATAATATA